CGAAGCACTGGTAGAAATGGAATATTCTGTGGGTTTGGCCTTTGGAGAGTGATACTCTACTGATGTGAGTTGGGGTTTGGGAAGAGGACGAGTTAGACTGCAAGCTTATAGAATGTAAACTTCTATCAGGACAAAAGGAATTTGGAGTTCTATAATAGGAAACCAAGTAAGAATAGGACCTAAAGAATTGTGCTAGATCCTCAAAGATAGGATAATTGCATCCCATGATAATGTATGAAATTTCTGGAGATAAGCTTATAATGAGAGAAGAGAAGAAAACAAAAGACTAAACCTTAAAGTGTGTAAGCTATGATATTAAGAATTACTGAAAAGTTTTGAGTGTTAGCTTGGAAGTATTATATGTCTTCTGAAATGTGTGAAGTTCAGCCAGAAGAGAGGTGTGTTTAGTCATACATACTTCAGTAGAATTCTCACTTCTCTGAGGCCCAATGCATTCTCTAGAACGATCGTCTGAGTCCACTCAGTCAGTAATCCCATTTGTTTCCTTACGGCCTCTGCTTGTTTTTCTGTCCAGGTGAGATTTTCATTGCCTGGTTGTACGTCCAGCACGCATGTCTCCCAGATGATGATTCCTGTGCTTACCCCAAGGCTACTTTATATTCAGAGATTGACAGTGCTAATGATGGTTTTCCCTTGGATGTTTATAGAGCCATTTGTATCTCTGTGGCATTTCTAAAATAGAGGAGTTATTTGCATGTTTCTGTTTAATACTTCCATAGTATTATTTTTTTCTTTTTGCTCTACTAAGGATGGTACAATAGGTGACAAAGAAGTTTAGAGGAAAAATGTCATTAAATTGTCTTTTGTTAGAAAACTGTTTCACACTCCTTTTGCTTCAGTCTTCTAAAATGTTTATATGCTTCAGCATGTGAGGGTGAATATTTCATTAGGAAGCATTAGGGGAGTTATTTTAAAGGAAGGTTTTAAAGAATGTTAATCACTAATGCATTAAGCATGAAAACCTAAGTGATAAGGAAATATAGATTTGCTTTGCTGAAAATTTCCCCTTCTCTGTCTTCCCTCTTGTTGGCATGGTTAATTATTTAAGTGTATCTGCTGAGGGAAATAGGAACTTGATGTTGTGATTGAAATAATGTAGCTGCCATGAACTATTCATCTTTTACTTCTCTTATAGCTCTCTGCATTAAGCAGTGGTAATGACCTGGCAAGAGGCTGAAATGACATAGCTTTTTTCTTTTCTTTCTTTATATAGATTGAGATATTTATTAATGCATCTTGTTCTTATGACCATATAAATTGCTAGGAAAGTGTATGAAGATTGCTTTTCTTTCTTAGTTCAGTGAAATTTGTATCTTTGTGAAAATGCCAAGATGCAGTGTCATAATGGCAGTAAAATATATATGGACACATTGAATACTGGCTCAGACTACAAAGAATCCTCCTGCAGTGCAGGAGACCTGGGTTCAATCCTTGGGTCAGGAAGATCCCCTGGAGGAGAGCATGGCAACCCACTCCAGTATTTTTGCCTGGAAAATCCTATGGACAGAGGAGCCTGGCAGGATATGGTCCATAGGGTAGCAAGGAGTTGGACACAACGGAAGCAACTTAGCATGCACACATGCCCACAATTATTAGTAGCCTCCTAAACCTAATGAGTGATAAATTGAAAGCATCATTAATCACTTAAGAATGAATATTTTCTAATTTTTTAAATCACTTTTGAAACAGCAGCCTTTGGAAACATGAGATAGGTATTTCGATTGTGATTTGCCTGATTGAAGAGAAGTGTTGAATACCCATGCTCTGTGGGTAGTAAATTGTTACAGGATAAATAGAAAACTGCCTCTACTTTTCACATTGCAGTTCACTGACAGGATGCTTTTGGGTATCTTGGGTTCAGCTCTCCAGTTTATAACCTAGATTCACCACTCTGTCTCCCATAAATCTCAGATGAAGAAGCATGCTTTAGGGTACTTAGAGATTCTTATCCAAAAAGAAAAAAAAGTTTTAGAATCCCTCAAGAATTCCTTAATCTAAAATGATGCGGAAACACAGAGAGCAAATGCTATGGGGAGGAACGGCACTGATAGACTAGCTCAACATAGGGTTGCCATGAACATTCGATTTGTAAAAAGGTGACTCAATAACTGTGATGCTCCAAAAAAAAGCAAAGAGCAATAAAACTAAGCATGGTAAAACAAGATATGCCTGTATTTAAAAAGCAGACTGATGCTTTTTTAAAGGGACTATATATAGCTACAGTTCGGAAGCTTATTCCCATAAGCCCATGGTGTGTGGCTTCTTCATCTAACTTTAGCACTTTGAAAGATTCAGTTGCATTGGAACTGGCATGAACTTGTATTCTTTAGCACTACTAGGAATGTAAACTTTAGAATGTCATCTGTCATTACAAAGTCTTTGTATCTCTAATGAGTACTTAGACACTCTTGAGATGCATGTGGCAAGAAATCCTATAATCTTTGAATACAGTCTTTGATGCCAGTTTTAGTAAAATTCTGAATTGAATTCAGTTGTTTTCAGAAATTTTACTAAAATAGGCATCGAAGACTGTATTCAAAGATTATAGTATTTCTTGCTACAGGCATGGAGAAGGAAATGGCAACCCACTCCAGTATTCTTGCCTGGGAAATCCCATGGACAGAGGAGCCTGGAGGGCCACAGTCCATGGGGTCACAAAAGAGTCAGACAGGACTGAGTGACCAAACAACAAAGACAGTAATGAAATAGCAATGTTGTTGATCCTTCTACTACTGTTACTGGGGTGAAGAGGAGAGGGAGAAGGAAGAAGCACTTATCTTGTGTAAGTCATCATGCTGAGAACTTTACATAAATCATGTAGTAGTCCTTATAATAAAATTATCATCTCCATTTTACAAAGTTTCACATGGTTAAGTTCCTTGTCCAAGGTCATGAAGCTGGCAGATAACTCAAACTCCTGAATTCAGACTTTCACCTACTATTGCAAATATTGGTTTGTTACTCAGTGCTGGGAATGAGGCTGTGAGAAATCTGGCCTCTCTTTCAAATCACTGTGACATTATTTAGTTTAGTTCAGTGAAAAAATTCAGAAAGCTATACACAAGTTTTGTATACTTAGAAATTAAGCAGTATGCTTAAGCAAAATTTTTAAACAATGCCTATGGGAAGAAAAAGGTGTCATTAATTGTTATTGATTATCAAATTGTGGGAAGGAGGAGTCTGCAGATTTCCAGAAAAAACTATGAGTAGTACCAGAGCTTTTATTAAATTCTTTATTAACTATCAGATACTGAATAATTGGACAGAGATATGTCACATTCATGATTTATAAGTTGTTACATAATTTTCAAGTGGGAAAATGGTATAATTGATTGTTAAAATTATCTCAGAATTGGAGTTTAGTTTTTTTTACAATATCATAGATAATACTGTCATCTGCATATACATCTTCTCTATATTAAATGCTTAAATTTTCTATATTAATTAAAATAATTGAGTTAATATTATGATTTACACTGATTTAAAAATCACCAAGAAGAATTTTATTTTACACTTAATAAGAACCTTAATACACTATTTAAGTAAATCACTTTTATTTTCCTATGTACACAATCTTTATTTTATTACATTGTCACATTCCCTATGTATAGGTCTCTAGAATTTTTCTAATTTGGTTTTCTTAGAAGCATACTTCAAAAGGTATGTTTAAATTTGTACTCTGTATATTTTGAGAAAAACTTTTTATGATCTGGTAAAAAATTGGATTTCCTTTTCACCTAACTTATTCATTATTTTAATGAGCATTTTAGTTAACTATTTATACTAATCTTCCTATTCCTTTTCTGACACCTCTAATAATAAAATAGTGACATTTTTAAGGAATTGGTTGAAATATACCATTTATATTCAGATTAAAATTTTAAATAAAAATTTTAAATGACTAAATAAAGAAAATGATAGATTATGTTACTAACATTAGTCAGTTAGGCTTAGAGAGAAGCCACAGCCGCACTCCACCAATGGATGACTTACCTGCCTATCTTCCAAGTAAGTTTAAAGGGAAGAGCATCACTATGTCTTACAGTGTTCCCAGGACATGATGCCATCATTTATTCTGTATGTTTTATTGCCCAGAAAATAAATTTGAGACTCTTAGAGGATTGTTGTTATTAATTTTATTTTTGTTTTCATTATTGATGTTAACCATAAAATTTGTGTAAATTTTGATTTGATGAAAATCTTCATTATCTTCATCTTCTTTCATTATGATGAAAATCTTAATATAAAATTATCATTTTCATTAAGTAGAGAGGACTACTTTAAGTCAACAGACTTAAAGAGGATACAGACCTTGGTTTCTGGTTTTGCCACTTTGTTTCCACGAATGAGTCTATCTTCCTGAGTCTCAGCTTCTTTATCTGAAAAAGCAATGGTTATCTTAAATGACTTCAGTGGTTAATTTCTGCTCGGTATGTACTATAACTTTCTGATGTTTGCTGGGAGAGAATCATCTTTAACTGGTCCCTGAGAAAGAAAAATGACATTAGGAAAAAGGCATAAAATCAGAGTTTATAGCCAACGGCTGGGTCATAGAGGAATATAAGGTTATTTTTACTCTTTTCTATTTTATTCAGATGTAGTGTCTGTAATAGATGTGGACAGTATCCCATGTGATTGGTGCAGAGGAGACATGACTGATGCTGCTGTAGGGACATGGGGTTATCAAATGGAGCATGATTCCATAGTCTTGGCTACTCCTGAGAGCCTTGAGGTGATTTTACCTTCATGAGGTAGCTTTTGACAGTCCATGCACTTACCATGCCTAATTTTCTTTGGAAATTAAAAACAACACCAACATGATGTACAGGTTTTGGTGTATAAAAAGCAGATTTGTTCATTACAACCGATGCAGGTAAAAAGCAGTGCTAGTGGTTTTCAGAAACAAACATGTTTGGATACACTTTCTGGAAAGAGAAGAGTCTTACCTTTCATTCATTTTCTTTTATTTTTGGTTGCAGAACCTCAGATGGTGGCAAAGTTGTCGGCACCATAGAAGTCAGTGTCGTGAAGATGGGGGAGATTGAGGATGGGGAAGCTGACAACATCACGACAGATGTGCAGGGACAAAAGGTAGGCTCCCAGTCAGCTCACTGCACAAATTAAATTAGAAACGATCAGCTTTGCCAGCTGCCCGGATCACCATCACCTCTGTGGGGTATGGAATCTCATTATTCAAGAGCTAAATGAGAAATTAGCCTTGGAATGGGAGTACCTTACGTGTGTCTCATCCTCACAACTCAGATGACCTGTTTGCATGAAACTATGCAAAGCCATTCACCATTCAAAACACCTTTCTCTTCGCAGCTGGCTGTCTGTGTTGGCACAGCCTCTTCTCAGTTAGAACAAAAGTATTGATCGCTGTTGTATCCTGCAGTAATTAGCCCTATGTGAGATGCACAGAACATTCTGGGAGGCCTATTGCCAAAAGTAACCACTTCTCTGCTCTCAAAATTATCTTTGGAAAGCAATATAGTTGGAGTTTGGATTTTGTTTTCATATGAAGGAGGACAGATTGAACAACTCTGTGCCTTAGGAAATTATGGAAAAAAATAAACAGTAAGTGGTAAATGGGCTGGGAGGATTGGAGGGGGCGGGGTGGCGGGGACTCTGGAGAGGGAGGGACAGTGCCAGCTTCCTTGAAGTCCAGAATAAAAGCCCCAGTATTGTCAGTATCCAGGATTTTTATTTCCTTTCTACTTTCTTTTCTTTAAATAGAGACAAAATTATTAGTCTAAAGTCCTGATTTAGGAAGGGAGTTGCCTGTCTCACTGAGGGACAGGGGATCAAGTTATAAACTAATAGTTCTTTCCTCCCCCCCCCCACCCCAGGGAAATGTATTTGTTTACATATTAGAATGTCTGCCTTTTCATAAATGAGCATTTTTAATAACATGATCCATTGTGACCTATTTTCTGACTTAGTGTCCCTTGTCTGGGAGCATGTTTTAATTTTTGGTACCAAGGAAGCGTCTACACGGGAGAGAGACAGTACTTATCTAGCACTTAACAAATCGTTAACATTACAAAAAAAAAATCTAAACCGACTTTCAAAAAAAAATGTTGTTCTTAGTCTGCATAGGCTAGGGTCTTACCACTTCCCCAAGCCTTGTTCTTCTCAGTTCCCTACTCTCCCTCAGAATGTATTCCAGGTCATGAATGTATTTCAATGAGGTCCAATGTTTGAATCAGGTTGCTGGCAAATGGCAGGGCCATGTTGAAATTATGCAGCAGATCGTCTTAAGATTCCTGTCTTGTGGCTAGGTTCAGTCATTCAACCCTTGTTAACTCTGGAGTTCTGTGTAAGACTCCTGCTAGTCATCACCGTATGGAGATGCCTGTGTGTGTCAAGATTAGAGAGGGGGCGGATTTGTAGGTTAAGAAGGTGGGGAGGGTGTCAGGGGGACAGGATGAACTAAAGGCAGAAATAGGCAGACAGTTGTGCCTAAACCCATGGAGACCAGGAGCTGAAACTCTTCCCATTTCAAAGGAAGCCTGCTTTCCATTTTCCTAACCTATTACCAGCCACCTCTATTTTTTCCCAAAGCTGGCTCACCCCTTGACTCCTTTACAATGTTGCTATTATGGGATAGCACAAATTGAGTCATGTTCTTTTCATAAATGGAGAACTTGATACTCAGGAATATGCCCCACTAAAGTCATACATAATGTTTCTGATTTAGTAATATGAACTTAAAAAAATGAGTTAACTGAGCTGTTCTAGAAATAGGTGGCAGTGTCAGCACGTACCATGTAGTTGTCATAAGTGGACTAAAATGCTAACCACATCAAGCATTCTTGGTTTTAGCTTTATCCTATCTGCATTCTTGACCTTTTGTAAAGTTTTTTATAAAGTTACTATAAACCCTGGTGGCAATCCCTAGGAATAGTCATGAAGAGCATGTCATAAGGTCCACTCTGCATGATATTTAGAAGAGTTATGTGGAAAGAACATTATCTCAGTGCTTTTCAAAGTGTGGTCAGAATCATCACAGTGTTTGTTAGAAATTCAAATATGAGGACCTTTTTGCAGACTTGCTAAATCAAAAAATCTCTATGAAATGTATTCACATGGTCTGTTACTAATAGTGATTTAAATCTTGAAGTTAGTCAATGGCTGAAATATATGAAAAGACAAAGTAACTGAGATTGAGGTTATCCTAAAACCACATCCCTCTCACTGGTTTGCACGAATGCGGGGGAAGAAATGGGACAACTCTTAGCACCATAGTCGTGTACTAAGTGGCACATGTTATCCCTTCTATATACTGAGCAGATAAAAAATTAGTACCTGTATGAACCTGCTTGGGCTGCCATAATGAAATACCATAGACTAAATGACTTATACAACGGAAATGTATTTCTCACAGTTCTGAAATGCTACTGGGTCCCAAATCACAGTGCCAGATGATTCAGTTCCTGGTGAATCCTCTCTTCCTGGCTTGCAGATTTCTTGCTGTGTCCTCACAAGGCTTTTCCATGGCACACGTGCATGGAGGGAAAGAGGAAACTCTGGTGTCTCCTCCTGTTCTTGTTAAGGACACGAGCTGTAACATTAAGGTCCTACTCTTGTGACCTCATTTAACCCATTCCACAAAGTCCTTATCTCTAAATACAGTGACGTGAAACATTGGGGCTTCAACATGTGAATTCCAAGGAATGTGATTCAGTTTATAATAGTACCTCTGATGTAAAATATGACATTTTAATCTTGAATCTTTATAAATGAAAATCCAAGCTCTTTCCTCTCACATACATTTACTTGTTTCCTAAAACCATATTATTATGGTTTTTTTGGTTGGTTGGTTGTTTTTAAATCAAAAGAAGATTGTGCATAGGGTCCTTCACCATATTATACTGGTTCAAACTTCTATTTGATACATAAAAACACAGAAATAGAACACAAAGTGTTAAAATGACAGAATAGTACAAAGAAAAATTCACAAAAGAAGTGCTAACATTGTCCTTTTACAAAGCTAACATGTAAGGTGAAAAACATTAAGTTTATTAAAATTGTTTTTGTTTTCATTTTGGGTTATGTTTCAATCCTTTGTTCCTCTCATAGTCCATATGGCAGTAAATCCTGTTCATTTTGACTTTGAATTCAGAATCTGACAACTTGTGACCGCTTAAGGCACTATGACCCACATTGTCTGTCACCTAGATTTTTGCAGTACAGTAAGTCCTCTACATATGAACAAGTTACATTCTGAGGGCACGTTCATATGTCCAATTTTTCATACATCCAACAAAGTTAGCCTAGGTACCCAACTCACATAATTGGCTATGTAGTAATGTACTGTAATCAGCTTATAATACTTTCTACACAAATAATACATAAAAAACAAGCACGAACATTAAATAAGGAAAACATTTTTAACCTTACAAAATGTAGTAGTACCATACAATGGCTGGCATAAGAGGGCTGGCATCGAGTGAACAGGCAAGAAGAGTTACTGCCTGGAGGAGCAGGAGGAGGTGGGAGATGGGAGAGCTGAAGGGTCATCAGCAATAGGAGATGGAGGGCAGGCTGCAGTTTCACCCACGCTTACGTTGGTAGAATGCATGTTTGCATCTTTGGAGGTTCACAACTTGAAGGTTCATAGGTAGGGGACTTACTGTGGTCTCTTGCATGTTTCCCTGACTCCCTCCAGCCTCCTTCCTTGCCATCCTCACGACCGTCATAGTCTATTTTCAGCAGAGCACTCACTAAAATATAATACAGAATGTGTCATTCTTCAGGTGGCCTCTCATCTCCCGGAAGACTGACCGAGCTACAGGGGAAGCCCCGATAAGTCCAAATCCTCACTTATAGTCCTACAGGTGTTGGTCCCCTTCACATCCTTCACCTCCTTTTCTGCTCCTCAGTTTTGTCCATCTTGATCCAGCCACATTATCTTCTTTGCTGCTCCTTAAACATTCCAGATACATTTCCAACTTGGGTCCATGAGCTTTGTCATTCAATCTATCCATGTAGCATTTTCCCCAGTATCTGTGCTCCACTCTTTCACTTCTTCTGGTCTTTATACAAAATCATTTTCTCACCGAAGCCTTCTCTGCCACCATATCTAAAACTGCAATGCCTGCCGGAAACACCCTCTCTTCTCTGAGTTATTTTGTCTTTAGTACTTACTGCTGTCCAACCTCATATGTGTTTTTTATTTATCTCATGTATTGTTTATTTCCTTCACTAGAATTAAACTTCCTGAGAGAAAGGTGTTTGTCTGTTTTGTTCTCTTTTCTACCCTCATTGCCCAGAACTGAGCCTGACAGAAGGAAACTGAATCAATGAATAAATGAAGTTGATTTTAATTTTAAAGAAATTAAATCCAAAATTGTCTCCTAGATGGGAAAATATTTGGCTACATATAGCACTGTACAAGGGCTTCCCCAGTGGCTTAGCCACAAAGAATCTGCCTGTGGTGCAAGAGCTGCAGGAGATGCAGGCTCATCCCTGGCTTGGAAAGATCCCCTGGAGGAGGGCATGGCAACCCACTCCAGTGTTCTTGCCTGGAGAATCCCACGGACAGAGGAGCCTGGTCAGTTACGGTCCATGGGGTCACAAAGAGTCGGATACAACGAAGTGACTGAGCACACACGCATATTCATCAGTGAACCAAGTAGGCACAGATGACTCCTTCTTGTGAAGCAGCAATTAAAAAATAAGCAATATATTGTTGATCAGGTGGTGCTGTTTGCTATAGGGAAAAAAGGACTGGAGAGTCCTAGGCTGTGGCCATTTTAAACTGGATGGTCAAGGATAGATTCACTAGTAGTATGATATTTGAGCTGAAACGTGCAGGAAATAAGGAATAAGAACTGTGGATTTCTGGAAGGAGAAAGAATTATAGGCGGAGTGAGCAGAAAGCAGAGGTCCTAAGATGGCAGGAAGCTCCTTGTGTTGAAGGAACAGCAAGAAGGTCAGTGTGACTAGATTTGAGGGGTCAAAGAGGAGAGTGATAGGAGTTGAGGACAGAGATTCTTGAAGCAGGGAAGACGGACTGTGTACTTCCTTGAAGCCCGTTAGGCTCTGGGCTACATGTGAAGACAGTTGAGGAGACGAGTGTATAGGTGTGAAGTCTGATTCATATTTTAAGAGGACCCTCTGGCTGCTGTATTGAGTAGAGCCTACCATGAGGTACAGACAGCAGAATGAAACCCAATGATTGTGAAGATTCAGGGTAGAAATGCAGATGGGCTGGATCAGGGTGATGCTGATGGAGAAAGTGAATTGTGGCCATACTCCAGGAGAAAAGGATAACTAAAAAATAGAATTACCATCTTGTCAAAAACACTGAGAGAAGCAGGTGGAGGAAGATGGGAGATTTTGAGATGCTGTATTTGACATTCCTCTTAGATATTTAAGTATATATGTATCAAAGCAGCTGGAGGTTCAAGTCTGGAATTCAGGTGGGCTGTCCAAACTGGAGTTATGCATTTGTGAGTCACCAGATGATATTTGGGTGGTGTTTAAGCCATGAGACTGAATGAGATCACAAAAGCATAGAAATTCTGTTTTACTCTTGAAATTTATATTTAGGTGGATTTTATCTACTGACACTATATTCGTAATTATACTGTATATAATTCACTTATTTGAATTATATCTGTAGACATTTATCATATTAGAAAGTCAAACAGGAAATGTTTAAAACAGAAGAGTATATAAGTACACATACCATTAGCTATCACTTGATTGGGTGATATAGTCTAAAAAATTCTACTATATGCTTATAAGAGAAAGAGAAGGAAACAGACAATAATATTTTAGTATTAATTTGAAAATAAAATTGTCTTTACCCTCTGCTAGATGCCACAAAGGCTACCAAGACAAAAGTTATCAGGGGAACTTCTCTGGTGCTCCTGTGGCTAACACTCTGAATTTCCAATGCAGAGGCCATGAGTTCGATCCCTGGTCAGGGAACTAAGAACCCACATACTGTGTGACCCAGCCAAAAAGTATAATAAATTAAGTGAAAGTATCTTTAGAAAAAGTCATCAAGAATTTCCAGGAGACTCCAGAATAACTTTGAGAACTGTGATTGATGGAATAAACTAACAAATGTGAAAGTACTTAGCCATGAAGTGTTGGTCTTGATGGATTCATACAGAGCTTTGTGATTATTGTTCATACAATACTGCTAATTTTCTAGATCAACACGTAGCAAATTGATATGTTAGCTGAGAGTCAAAATCATTTAGCTCTAAGAATTTTACATATCTTATGTTTCTTCTGCTTGCCCACACTTACCATCAAAAGATACTTTTAAAATTATTAATCACAATCAATAGGGTTATGGTGCTACATCTGGTACAAAAAGCATGTGATGTTTTGTTATTCCTGCTCAGAATCACAAATGTAGAGTCATTACATTGCAAGTGCACACCATGCAAATGTGTAATGCTGCAAATATCCATCATCATAATAGCAATGAACAGTATAAATAGCTGAACCTTCTTAAGCACAATTTCCACCTCATTTCCATCTTTGCATTCTCTGTAGCAACTGGCACAGTGTAGCAGTGACTCTAAGGTCAATGTAAAAAAAATTTTTTTTGAAATATAGCTTAAGGAAATAAGAAATAAGGTTCTTGGCCTGGAGAACTTTCAATCTAAATAGTGACACAAAGTGTACACTTCAGGAAACAATTGAAGAAAGCAATAACCAGGGTCCAAGTATGAAAATATTAATTTAGTAACTGTTTATTAGATACTTTCTGTTTATGTTCAATGGATTTAAATCTTGAGCGGATTCTGAATAGTAGAACTTTAAAATACAGTATCTTTGCAAAATAAGAATATTAGTTTAAAATGTCCTTAATATCAGTTTTCCAGTGTGGATGGAAGATATGGTTATATAAAAGTCATATGTCTGTATTCATTTGGTGAAATGAAACAGCCTTTTAGTTTGGAAACAGAAAGTTATCTTTGATTTCAAAGAGGCAGGACTGCCTCCATTAAAAGAAGCAGTTTCTCAGGATAATAGCCTGGTTTCTGGGAATTAGGAACTTCTTCACTAAAAAGGTTTAATCAAAACCATCCCTATAAGTTATATTGTAGATGATGATATTCTTTTGGAAAGGAAGATGATTTAGAGCCGTGTACCTAGTTATTATGTGGAAGGATGTCAGGGACAAAGCATAAAAGCATTTGAGGACCAGTCTGAGAATATTGAACTTGACTGAACAGTAAATAACCATTTTACATTCTAGAACCAAGCACTGATATGTTGAATATAATATTTACCAAAGATTACTTTAACAGCCCTATGTAGGCTGAAAGAAGTAGAGAAAATATTGTAAATAGGAGAAATAAAGAACTTTAAATGTGTCTAAGGATCCTTGCACATTGCTGTGGTGATTTGGAAAGTACATATCCAAAATACCTGTGGATTAAAAAAAGGAATCACCTCTGACTTCTGGTTGATTGCAAAAATGATCTAGAGAACACTAAATTTAAAGAATTATTTGCAGTTATTCATTCTTTCAGTGGGATCTCAATATAAGCACTAAAAAAATTTAGGAAAGAACATTTTTCTCCATCTAGAAATTTCCTGAGTAATGTGATGAATGTTATGATAGAAGAATGAGTAGCAGACTTTAAGAATACAGAAAGTAGCATTTAAATCAAGGTTTTAAATTATTTGTGTCCCTTCTCAAAATACTTGAGAGACATACACTTTGCTGTCATGAACAATGACCTCTGTGGCTGTGAATCTCAAACCCGGGCCAGTCCTTGGAGAAGAAGGGAGGTGGGTTTCTGTGTCTCTCTCTGTCTCTCCGCTCTCCTGTCCAGAGCAGTGTCTGTTCTGTAAAGGATCATGAGCTGAATCTGTTTATCATGGGTTAATAGATCATCTATTATCTCTAGATTAGCTTGTGTATAAATTACTTATTCATAAATGGGACATCAGCTTATTAATAAAGTACCCTCATCCTTTATGAGCAAGTGTTTGTATCTTTTGCCAGAGACAAAAAGTCTCCTTTTGCATTGTGATATTAGATGCTACAATATATTTTCTCTTTTACTTACAGTTGCCTTTACTTAAAAACTAGAAAATAATTTGCTTTTTATTGATCCAAAATCGACCCACCAGGTGACAGAAATACAAAGCCATTCACCTTGTCCTAGGTGATTTGCTGTAATGGGAACCTATTTCTAGCATGTTAGGGAGGGTTCTTTTCCACAAAGAAAGTACAAATTTTCTTTCCTAAGAAGTCTTTAACTCAAACTGAAATGTAGTCTATAATTGCATAATAAAATCATATTATATGTAAGTAAATAATCACAAGTTAAACTAGATTCATCCTAAAGATACAGCTCAAAATAGTTTTTCAAAAATGTCTTGTTCAAAACTTTTTGAAACTGTGTGCATGGCCTCATGTTTTGCAAATAAAAGAATCTCATTCCTTATTTGATCGTGTTCAACTATGTTTTCTTTCTTCTTTTTCCTTCTAGTGTGCACTGGTTTGTGAATGTTCAGCCCCAGGAAGTGTGAGCAGAAAAGATAACCTACCTTTTTTGAATGCAGGTATGTACCTCAGTTTTGGAAACTTAAGTTCATTTCATGTGAACATACATTTTAATTTTCTAAGAAGTTGATACTGAACCTGGATACCATTCTCACAGAACTGTTATAAACATTTATTAAATATTGGTAATCATGGGAGTCAGCAGTGTGGGGGTAAACTTGACAATTCCATAAAAAATATATTTGTATATCTTGGCTAAATGGCAAAACAGATTCCTTTTATCAATTGGGTTTTGTTTTATTTGAAATGAGACATCGTTTCAGATGATGGAGGAAGTATTAGAAATGTGAAGCTCTTAATTAATTTGACTTTCTAATTCTAGGATTTAAAATAAAGTTGTTAAAACAGTATGTATGTGGATTCAGTAGGAAAAATTCATACACACATTTATACATTCCGCTGTGTGTGTGTGTGCATATATATGTGCATATATATGTAGTGTTAATAATGCTAATATATTTGAATTTCAAAAAGGCACTGAACAGTGTGGTAAATGATGACTTTGACGTCTGATACAGTTACAAAATATGTGATAATATATATATGTAAATCATGGAACTAATTTTTGAATGATAACATACATTGTGTTACCAGTGGTGATATGATGATATTAGCAAATAATGATTAGTACAATGACAGGCAAGATGCTGAATGCCTCATGTGCCTTGCCTTAACTTGTTTTCTAATATGTGCTGTGAAGAAGGCACTGTTATTATCTCCATTTTAAAGATGAGGAAATTGCTCAAGATTACTACCTAGCCAGTAGCAGGTCCAGCATTTAATTTGGTTTTAATCCCAAGGCCTTTGCTTTTAATTACTAGATCATGCTGTTACTAAAAAAGCCATTAATTAACAAGCTGGTATAACAGTAAAATAAACCTTAACATTTTCGTAGCCTTGCTCTGTTATGCATTTCAGCAGTGGCATGAATAGCATGATAATCAGATTGAGTGATACCAAACTTCAAAGTTACTAAGACAGAACCCCTAAACAATGAGCAATTTTCCCTTGCAGAAACCCAGTAATAATAAGAGATAGAGAAAAACATGCAACACTTTGAATCAAAGAACTCAAAATAAAATATAGCAACCAAAAACCCATGAATTGTACTTAATAGAATGGGGGGTTAAACCAAAGAAGAGCAGCTACTTCTCAACCTAGGACCAAATGGCATGTTTTAAAAAATGTTTATTAAGGATATATTATCAGGAGGAATGTGCATTATACAGGGAAGGGGCTATCTGCACATCTACACCAGCCAGATACCATAAAAATACTTGATAAGTTATCCATATGGCTAAAATAACTAATGTATCCTCAAAGGGTCTTCTTCATATATATTTTTTTCTTTTAAAAGCTGACCAAACCTCTAATCCTTGATTTCAATATATTTAGATAATCTATTTAATTCTCCAAATGTCAATTTTGAGAAGTAAAATTGAATGTGAGAGATATTGCACTCATGTTAAATACAGTTTAAATGAATCAAATTATCATCAAAATCATCTACACTGTAATTATAAGACACTTTTTAAGTGATTCACTCATGTGAACCTTGTAATTTTTTTATGCACACAAAGGGAAATGCCATTTTAAAATACTGATTGTTTTAATATAAATTTCAAAGAGAAAGAGAAAAGTGGCTCTTGGGGTAGAAAGAAATATATCACCTAAGGAAGATGAGACAAAGGGAACATGAGAAAAATAAATCTGCACCTTCTGATCCTTGCACCATAAAATCTGCAAGGCATGAGTTTTGGAAGCCTATTAACTCTTCCAAATGTCTAGGGTATGATTCCTAACCTTTGATTTGTAATATGACAGAGACAAGCAACATGGAAATCTTGGGAGCAGCTACATTCTACAATTTAAATACACTCACTAACGGAGTCAGGATTGATTGCCGCTTTCCCTTTTCCTGGAGGTGACGGTTTTGGTGGTGATTCTATACTTTGTTCTGATGATTTTTCCTGTGTCCTTGGTCCAGGCAATCTGAAAGTGCCTAGAACATTTGCTAAAAATATTTTCTTTTCATGAAATTATTTTTTTAAATGCAGCCTTGTTTATTTGGCGGCACTGGGTCTTAGTTGCAGCACGTGGGATCCCCGCTGCATCCTGTGGGTCTTTCACTCTGGCACAGGCACTCTAGTTGTGGCTGATGGGCTTAGTTGCTCTGTGTCTTGTGGAATCTTCGTTCCCTGACCAGGGATCGAACCTGGGTCACCTGCATTGCAAAGCAGATTCTTAACCACTGGATCACCAGGGAAGTCCCACAGATATGTTCTATGAGCCTTCTTATATTAAGGAAAGTGAAGTCGCTCAGTCGTGTCCAGCTTTTTGCAACCCCATGGACTGTAGCCTGCCAGGCTCCTCTGTCTATGGGGTTTTCCAGGCAAGAATACTGGAGTGGGTTGCCATTTCCTTCTCCAGGGTATATTAGGGAAAGATAAGACAAAATGACTGTCAAATGTTCTAAAAGCTTGATTTTTTAAAAAAAATATTTTAAAATACATCTAAGTGCTATATGTAACATGTTTCTGTTCATAATCTTAAAGTGTGTTGCACATGTATAGAATATTTAAGTGGAATATGCACCCATGACTTGGGTCTGTGTGCACCTTGGTCTTTCGTTCTATTTATTTATCCATCTAAACTCAGCAACTTTGGAATTAATCTATTATATTTCCATGAGGTACTTTTTCACAATCTGTAGGCGGAGGGAGTTATTGACATTCTTCCCAGGCCTTTATATTCATGTATTATATGGAACTTGCCAGTCTCAAGTGAGTTATGAAGTTCTTACTGATTGAGCGCAAGAGGATGTCATAGCTCATAGCTGCTCTTCACTATTCTATTTATATCTCTATAAGTTTAATGAATAACTCAGAAAATTCACTTATCTATTGTGAGACTACAGAGGAAAAAGCTCTTCTCTCTTGAACCTCACCGTCTTCATGCCGTGTTAGCCTCTCAAGTTGAATGTATATGTTGGAAGCCTGGAGAGGTAAGGGCAGGAGGAGAAAAAATGATGAGGAAGAGGAGAGGGGGCAGGATTTACAATTCCATAAAAAAGATATATAAGTACTTTAGCTATATAGGAGAAAATAAATTCCTTTTGGCTGTTGGATTTTATATTCTCTGAAAGAGGAAATGAATTAGGAGATGTAGTATTAAGAATTGTGAGGTTCTCGTTTTGCTTGATTTTATAATAGTTTATGAAACTTGTTGAAAAGTTACCTGTTTAATTATTGGTGCATTCATTTAAGCAAAATGGAAGTGAGAACACATAAAGCTGTGTGTTGTTGGGGTGTTGCTTCAGGGATGAGGGTAGGGAAAGTTAATTTTGAACAAAGGGAAGTGTAAACAACCAAGTCTCTTACCTGGTCACAGAGTTGGGTGTGCATTAACTGAGGCGCCTTTGTCTGCAGCAAAACAAGAACAAACGGGCTCTGATGGTATTCATACCAGTACACTGAACAGGTTCTGTGAAGAACTGGTGTCACAGCCTAGATTTGCTAACAGCAGTGTGACTCTGACAGACTGGTCAGCCTCTTTGGGCATCAATACTTTTTGGATGACCAAACTGACCTCGACAGTCTTCAATTTCGTTTTTGGTCCTCCATGTCTGAAATCTAGAGAGCATAGTTTAGCCTTTGCTATGTTTTCCTTCATTTTAGAAATATTTCATGAAAGTTTTCATTTTCATCAGTTTCACATGGAGTCCTATATCCAATTCTTTGTCACTTACAGTTGTCTTTCTCAGGAGTTATTTATATTTAATAAGCCTGGCCAGAAGTAAACTCTTTAAAAAATGTTGTCAAGATCAACAGTTCTCTCTAGGTTTCCTAAATCTACCCATTTTCTTTGTTAAAGTATAATGCTACAGAATACTTCATCCCATGGACTTTGATATTATCATGATCAATCTGAGAAGCTAATGGACCCTGTCATTGTTTCCTATTATCTTCACATTTTGAGTGAGTTTCCCTCTGTCAGCAAGCATTTGATCTGATATAGCATCTTTCCTAGTTGAATTCTACACTTCTTGAGTCATGAAATTATCCATGATATTTTTGAAGACCAGCTTCATGCTGTATACTAACGGGTATGCTGTCCATCCTCTTCACAGAGGGTGTATCTGACAGCAATGAATTCCATGACTGTAAAAAAATCTAAACCTCAATGTGAGGACTATCCTGTTTTCAGTCCTAAATACGGATACTTTCCCCCGTATTTGGAGAGTTTATTGCTGTTTATCTTCTTGCCTCATGGATGAATCACAAGTATTCTCAAAATAGTCCACTGTATCTTTTTTTCTTTGCCCCCAAATAGGCTTAAGTCATCTACTTCCCCAGGTGGCACTAGTGGTCAGTAGCCTGCCTGCCAATGCAGGAGATGTAAGAGAAGTGGGTTCAGTCCCTGGGTTGGGAAAATCCCTTGAAGGAGGACATGGCAAGCCACTCCAGTATCCTTGCCTGGAGAATCCTATGGACAGAGGAGCCTGGCAGGCTACAGTCCATGGGGTCACAAATAGTCGAACAAGACTAAAGTGACTTAGCACACCTGCTCTATTGCTTTACTGCAGTTGCCCAATTATGAGCTGTTTAAGAAGAAGAAACATTGCTTATTTATTTCTGTGTCTCCAGGGACAGAAAACAATAGGAACTCAGCAGATATTTGTCAAATGACTGGTAATGGGTGTATCTTACCACTTGAATTTATGCTCCAAGTACAGAGAACTGCACTGTTATTCTTCTGTCCCTAAGAAAGATGTTCAAATTGAATTATTTCTGTTTAAAATTATTTATTACTTTCCCTAAAAATTACTGTTAAATTCTCATTTAAATTTTTTTTCTGCTTCATTTGGCACCATGTATTTTAGTTGCTTTTCACAATACCACATAACTGAACTAATTACAGGCAACATTCTCCTCAATACCACCCCATCTAAAGCAACTGGTGACTCTGAATATTTTAAGAAATATTCTTAGAGACTTTG